TAAGTTTATAGGTACATTTTAAATTCCAAACATCTTAGAAAACCCTATACTTTTATCTGTCATCACATGTATTAGAGTCGACTTTAAGTTTGAAGATTTATTCATTCACTTAAGCGCAATGCAGCAGAGAAATGCTACGTTTATACGAATAACATAAACAACTGGTGTCATGGTAGGAAGCAGAATAGCATGAAGTGAAGAAATATGTGAGAGGAAACGCGACAGGATGCAAGGACATGAAAAATTGATATGGGAACACCGTTTTGGTTTTGTGTATAATTTTTACTTAATATGAATATTTTATTTTTCATAACATTTTTTAAATAGAAATATTTTTTAAATATTTACTATATATGCATATATGGTATGCACTAGCTGATATAAATTTTTATATCATAATTTTGAATCATAACATTGTGTTAATCTATTTTCATGAATTTGTGATAATTATTAATCCTATTCGGTACGTTTCCGTTGGCAATTGCATATTTAAAATGTTTTTGTATTTAAAATTCAGTACAAAATTTGCATATTAAGTAATGTTTTCATCCGTACGAACTCTAAACATTACACTCCATTTCATTTGGCTCTTAAACTTATTGCTCAATCATGTTAACATGGGAGCGTTGTAAACCAAAGCCCTCTACAGCCGAAAGGTACAAAAGGACAACGTTGAATTAAAAATGGCACATCATTTTACATTTGGTTTATGAAATTTTCTCCTCGTTTCTCCTCGCCTGTGTTATGTTTTCATAAAAGTTTAACAGATTCTTACATGGTGTAACTGTACATAGAAGTATATACTATGTATATACAAGCAAATACAATGTATGTACATGTGTACTAATAAAAAAAGTTTTGATTGTTCGAGGATATCATATAACAGCAAAAATTTTAAGGCACATAAAATATTATGATTAAAGGACAAAATTAGAAAAATTCTAATTTATTATACATAGAAATATTTAAGGCTTCTAAATGCAGAAAAAATATGAGATGAGGTCAGTTTCAAATTTTGCTTCCATTTTTATATATACGTGTATATATTTTCTTACATAGGTATACTATTTTATCTTCATTTACATACCCTAATAATAAAGAAGAATTCAACAAGTATACAATTTCCCAACTTTAGTCCACTATGAAGTGTGATGAAACCATTTCAACTACTATAACTAATAATAATTAATAACTAAAAATAGTTATTTTAATATAAGCAATTAAGTTTATATCAGATACACTCTTCATTTAATTAGATGTACATACTGTAAACTGAGAAATATTTTTGATTTTTTTATACTGTATTCCTTATTTACAATTTTGATCCATAACACCCTCAGGTGCCTAATATTTTGAGAGACTTATGATAAATTACTTTATTCACCTGAATTTTGACGCTAATGAAAGTAAATATTTGTAGTAATAAGATTTATCATACAAATTATGCCATAAATTATCATTTTTAAAATGTTTATTTTCATAATTTACTCTCCTGCTTAAAGATTTTAATTTGTGGCAACGTTTGAAACATATATAATTTTTTTTTAATAATTTATGTGAATTAAATCATGTAATTTATTAAGTAAATAACAATTCCTTGAACTATTAAAATATTTTGAACTTTTTTTTTATATTAAACTTAAAAAATATTTAAGAAATAGTTGTAATTTTGAAAAATTTTTTATAATTTAAAAACTTAAAGATAGTTATATGAATATATAGAAATATCAAGTTATTTTTTTTTTATTTTTGTCTTTTGCAAAATTTAAATATATACGAAATAAACATAAAATTATGAATAAATTTTTTTTAAAAAGAACACAAATAAAAAGCTGTATGATATTTCTTATTATGAAACTTTTTAAAAAAACCCAAAAAATAAACAATTCAGTCTCTACACTGGCCATAGACTGTTTATGATGTGCTTTCATCCAAGCCATTGAGCTGTATTTCTCTTAATTCGACAATACTCAATCTTCTGAATTTGATGCTATGTTCATTGATTTCAGTTAATATTCCGCTATGTGAGGTTTATTAGGTTGCTTCTTTCTTCTTTAAAGTGGACATGACAAATTAAAACTATCAATCAAGTACGTCATCGTACTTCTGTCTTTATAACCCTTAGAACACAGAATTGCTATCCCTGTCACATTAACGAGTAGTTTCCAATCTCAGGTACTAACTGGGCTATTACTACCTGTTTAAAAACTCACTATGACTGCTGCACTGTCATACTATCGACTTTCTCTAGTCTCGATCTGCTGTATTTTATAGAAACAGGGATTAGTCGAAAAGATAGTATCTCTTCACCATACACTACAAAGTTGAGTTGGTAAAAACTTTAACCGTATAGCACTCAGCTGAGCCAAGACTATCACTAAGTGAACACTTTCCCTTTTTTTTCTACACATGTATATCCATTTAATGCTCATATGTATATGTAACATATTTACTTATTTGTGTTTTACAAAAAATATTAAATTTTTATTATACATTATATACATTGTATGAAATATAGATATCAATCAGCATTTAAAGTATACACCAATCCGTTCAATATAAGAAAACTTCGAGTTATATCATTTAGCAGAATAGAATAGGTTCACTTAGCTTGCTCATAGATCTATGGGTTCTTAGCAATACCAAATAGAGCTATACCTTCACATTAATTTATAAAAAGCATCAAATTAATATTTGTAACGAATATAAATATTAGTTAGCATTATGCTTTAAGTTCTACTCTTGTGACTCCTTCCGATTTTCCAACTCATGAGACTCCTAAGCAATTTAAGTATGTTCTTAGCAAAACAAAACAAAAGTATATAATATATTTCAATGTTTTTTTGTGTTCCAAATGCCCTCCAGTTTTTACTTTTCTTAGTTTGAGTTGCAAATGACTTTCACAGTTTTGTAAAGTTTAGTAGTTGATTAAACTATTTCGTCTCATGATTACCTGCCTTTTCAAACCCTTGTCAAGATATTTATATATACTAACATTGTTGAGGCCCTATGCTCCAATAAGAGATACAGGAATTGATAATGATGATGATGATGATTGTTATTGTTAAGTATTGCATTTGTTAGTTAAAAATATATTTTTATTAATAAAAATATTTAATTTGTTCATATCTATCTATAACTTAATAATATAAAATATTAAAGTAATTGTAAAAAAAAATAAAAATTAATTGTATTAAAATACTACAAGTAAAAAAATTTCAAATAAATAAAAAGGGGGAACAAAACAGAGAGTAAAATATAAACCACATGAAAATAAAGAACTGTTAAATAAAATAAAGTAATATATAATAAAATTAAATTAAATTCAACAATTTTACATAGTTTCACATTTTAACATATAAATTTCACCCAAATTTTTTGGCTCACAGTGCGTATACGTAACTTTAATTAAAACGTAGGACAGGCACTTCAGTCACGTAAACAATTTTTTGTGCGACAAATATTATTTCAAGTGAAAAAATGTTTATTTTTTCTTTTGTCAAAACTTAAGTATTTTTTAAATAATAAAAAAAAAGATTTTTTTGTTGTTGTTGATTCTATTATATCAAATGCTTTTGACGCCTGCGGCATTGTTTTACTCACAATAGGAAAAAATGTCTGCTGTGCCTTTTCACTTTCATTTAAAAATGAAAAGAAAAGTTATGAAAAAAATATTTAAAAAAAAAAATAAAATAGACGGGGATGAGGTAAAGAAAGCCAACTCATCTTTTTATGGTTTCAAATCGTTTTAGAATAGTTTAAATGCCAAATGCAAGAGGCAAGTACAGACAGCGAATATTGGGTGAATTTCGTTAAACCTGTAGCATTCTGAGCTTCTTTCCTACTTTAAAGAAATTATAAAAATTAAAGCATTATAGATAACTGATATCATGTCGAGTGATGATTACTATAAATTTTGATATTTTTTATCTATTAGCATTAATGAAGTATCTGTGAATTCGATTTAGTCCTTGTATACAAGCAAACCATCGCTGTATTTATATTTCGAACATTTTACTAAAATCAAAATCTACTCTATTAGATGAAAATATACACAACTTGTGTATGAAGCATTGCTTTAAGGGATTGAGTGAAATATCAGTTAAAAAAAAATTAAAGGAAAAATTAAAAAAAGTCATTGGAAAGTTTTAAAAAATTATATTAAATAGTTAACACTTTTCCTTAAGCATATTCTAGCATTTTTTTTTAGCCTTTAATTTTTTTGGGTCTGCTTTCCTTTTGCAGTATCTACAGACCGAGAGACAGATTAATTCTCTTTATAACATTTTTTGATTTTTACTGTACTTTAAAAAACTTTTTCCAAGCCTCATCCTGGTTTTTGCTCATTTTTTTTGTGTAGTATCTATAAGTTACATGATTATATCTCTTAATTAATGCTGCTATGCCAAATATTACTTTAATGACACTTTATCAGGTTTTCGGTAACTGATGAGGCCTTCTCTTTAACTAATTTATTTACAAAATTTGTCTCACTGTATGGTTTGTCTAGCCTTTTAAAGGTTATTTTCCTTGTTATCCGTGTCCTACATAGTCTTTAGCTAATACATCTAAAAATTTATCTTAATTATCATCTTTTCATTACATCGCCAGATAATGGAATATACTATAGTAATTTTGCTCCAATCAAGACGAGTTTGTAAACGTTAAACCTGATCTGATTTGTAGGTTTAAAAGTACATATATAAATTTACTATATAAAATAATTTATAATAAGAGGATCCCATCCGATTGCTGTTGATGTTATTACCACTTCATTATCAGTTTTAATCAATTATATCATTGTTGATTCTTTAAATTTTTAAACACCATACTGAACCGAACCTTTTAAAAACACGATTAATAATTACATCCGACGTAGACATAAATTTTAATTCAAACTGTAACTTAAATTAAATATATTAATATTTTTGCTTCCTCTTTTCAATTATTTCAACAAATAATAAAAAAAAATCTGCACACATCATTTTATTCACTTTCAGATTTGCCTACGTGTAAAGTCCATTTCCAAGTGAGATAATCTCATAACTATTAAAAATGTAAAAAAGCATACAGCAGCAAAAGTGTAGCAATGTTCAATCCGATTTAAGACCAATAAATTGTACGGCGCAGTATACATCATTGATTCCTGAGGTAATCATGAAGAATGACGTTTTCATAGCCCTTTGCATTCATTAAAAGCACAGCATAGTACAGCACGGATTGAATTCATCAATGTTGGCCAACACATTCGAATACCACAAACTTTCTTCAATTGGTATTTCAGCAAAAAGCAGCAGAGCAACAAAAACTACAAAAACAACAAAGTAGGAGCACTGCTGGTGGCAGTTCAATCAATGCAGTATGGGTGCAAATGCATCGAGCAGATCAGATGCAAGTCTGCTCAACGATGATGATGGTGAGTTGCCACAAAGTGTGCAAACCAATGTTTAATTATTTTTTACCCTGTTTTTATTGGTTTTTCAAATTACTTTTTGATGTTGTGAATGAACTTGTAAGAATCATGGCTACTATAATTTTTAATCCACTATATTCAATTGTAGCTGCTGGTCTATTTGACTTTGATTTGAATTCAATTTAAAAACAATTTTGGAATTTCGAAAGTTTTATAGAAAAATATTTGAAACAATTTTTTAAATTTAAATCGAAATGTAGTTTATTTATTTTTTATCCATACTGTACAATAAAAGTGTTCACGGCTATGATTTTTACATAGTTTAGATGAATAACTAAAATTATTAAATAAAATATTTACTTTTGATATTATTTATCATTATTATTCTTTATTTTGTACTTTTTTTTACCCACTTTTTTTACCCACTATTAAAAAACTTGGAATTTAAAATCATTCCCATACGTCTTGTTCACTGTTTTGAATAAAGTTAACAATAACTTCTACATTATCTATACATTATTCACAAAAATAACATATATATTTGCAATGACTTTTAATAAGTCAATGATAAATGAAAGAAAGTGCTATATTTATACACATATTCTAATTTATTATTTGCATAGTATTCTTTCAGTTATATACACTTACTATAAAGGTATTCCAATATTTATATTCCTACTTTAAAATAATACTCTTCGAGGTTTTAAAAATCTTCAGAGGCTGTAAAGGTTATATCCGAAATCGATTAAAACAATTTATTAGATAAACGAATTGGCAATCCAACTTTGAAATAAGTAATAATCAGTTCAAACCAAATCTAGTAAAAATATTTGATCGGTTTCCAGTTTAAGTTTCTGTTGAATGATCTCAAGTGTTGTCATAACAATATCAAATATTTCTCACTTTCTAAAGTATTTTTTTTAATTCTAATCGAAATAATTTTAAAGCATCGAAAAGTATTGATATAATATTATTATTCCTTCTTCTCTCTAATCAACCTTAACTATATCATTTGCATCCCAAATTACAGACAATATAACCCTTCATCTTTTATGGTACAAATTTATCAGGAAAAGTTTATTGTTTTTAGTGCTCTTTTCTTTACCAGTGCAGTCGTTAATCCATAGTTTATATACAGTTAAAAATTAACACAGTGAAAGACTAACCACCACATTTTCGTTATACTGCGAGTAAATGTGGAACTCTAATACAAATATACAAATACAAACATATTTATTTAAGACTTGTACTGCATTAGCAACCCTGCACAGTTGTCTTCACTAGATTCTGGCTTCAGAGTGATTTACTTATTTAGGCATCCTTACCACTTAACATGTGTGGCGCTTATAAGTCCATAAAGACACTCAGTGATTTCATTAAACAAGACCCCACAAGAAAACTCCATATTATTGTGCAAAGTTTCCACAATGCTTGTGAAACTGTCTTCACTAGATTCTGGATTCTAGCTACCATATTCGGAGTCACTCACTTGTTTCGGCAACTTCACCACTCAACATGTTTGGTGCTTATACATCCATAAAGAAACTCAGTGATTTCATTAAACAGGACCCCACAAGAAAACTCCATATTATTGTGCAAAGTTTCCACAATGCTTGTCAAACTGTTTTTTCGTTTTAGAAACTCTTTTATTTTTAGTTAATTAAAACATGAACTTTTTTTCGATTTTCGCAAATTCACTAAATATTATACATGTTTAAGAACTACCCAAAAATTAGTTTCATAACGTCCACTTAAGCTTTAATGACTTATCAAAAACCTCTAGTATACAATTTATTTTTATTATATTAAAACAAAAAGTTTTGTTTGGTAATTGCAGTTAATTTTGACCACTTTCAAATACTACGTGCAATTGGGAAAGGGAGCTTTGGAAAGGTAAGTTAGAATGTAATAATATATAGTAATATTATATTGAACTAAATATTAGAATTAAATTCTTAAAATAAGTAATAATTACCAAGTGCAAATAACAACAATTCCTTATAATTGACTAAAATTATATATTTATTTGTTTAATAGAGTGCTTAGCAACTAACACTCACTAACTCAAGATAAAAGTTATCCGAAAAATATAATACTTATATATATTTTTTATAAAACTCAAATTTAGTAAACCCTAGCATGCTGCATTCATTAAGACCGACATGAATTGTGTGACATGTCTTGTATTTTGCTCATCAAAATCGTCCAAGCCGATTATACTCGTATCTACTATGTAAACTGTGTAGTTTTCGATTTTGTTAACATTTCTATGAATATATGGTATATCTGGTACCCCCTCTGAAATGCAATCTATCCTATCTACCCATCTACCTATCTGAGTTGGTATCAGTCCTTTAACATGACATCAACCTTTTTAAGATGATGTAACTCCTGTGATATTAGTTATCTGCACTGATTTCATCACTTTGAGATTGCGTGCCCGTTTTGAGATGGCGTCACTCCTCTAAGATTGTGTCATTCTTTAAGATAACGTCATCCTCTCTGAGATAGTCTCATTCCTTAGAGATAACATCACCCTTCTGAAATGACGTCACTACTTTGAGATGATGTCACTCTTCTGAGAGTTTATAACCCCTCTATCCAACTTCAGGCACCCAAATAACTACGTTTCTAATTACACCTTCTTTAGAGAAACTTGCTTAATTTATTTTCCTTGAGCATATTCCATACTACTGCTGAGCGGTATGTGATCATAATGGACTAGGGGCTTCAGGAAGTAGACCCGACAGTTTATAAAACATAGTTCTTATTTCTCAAAAATGAATAATTCAATAATAAAAATTGTAATAATTCAAGGAAAGCAAAACATTTTATTTCGACTATTTTGTAAGTATAGAAACCTTCAATTGTTAACAAGGACCGATGTACGAGTATATTCCTCCTTGATTGCTCGTTTAACACAAATTAGAATTTATTCTCATTCTGTTACAAATACTTTATCTATTGAAAGGATAACTATTGAATTATTTATTTGTAAACAATTTGGTACATGATTTATGTAGTTCTTATTTAAAATATGAGTTGCTCCATGTATAAAAAAATAAATATGTCACTTTTGGATTATAATTGCCGACATATTTTCCTCTTACACAGAGTTTATGATATCTAATAAAAATACCTCAGCAGTCGTAACTTATTTAATATATTTTCATTTTGTTTTTCCAGGTCTGCATTGTGCAGAAGCGTGACAGTGGCATACTTTATGCCATGAAATATGTGAGTCGTTCCGCGTGCGAATCTCGTGGTGCGCTCGGTGGAGTCATAAAGGAGGTCGATTTACTCGCTACATTGGAGCATCCATTTTTAGTGAATTTATGGTTTTCTTTTCAAGGTTAGTATAAAAGAAAATACGAAAGAAGAAAAGTGCTAAAATGGAAAACATGTCAACGAAGCAAAGGCGTAAACAGTTTACTTTTATAAGAGTTAAGCATGACAGAAATATGAAAACTTGAAAACTTAGATACTTATGGGCACATACACTTGGTACTACATAAATATTTTACATACGAGTATACACTCGATAGTCGTATGGATGTAAAATTATTTCCTGTTATGCAAAATTTTTGCACGTTTGATACATTTACTTTCCTTGAATTATGATTGGGTTCCAGGTTGTTGCCAATAAGCAATCAAAATGCAAATCATATCCATAATAAGACTTTAATATGAATTATATTATAAATAATTATGAGCAGCAAATTTCGTTATGATATTTTCCTTTATTCCACATTTTCATAAAGAATCAATTATTGATTTATATTCAACTGAGATACATGTTATACATTTCAAGAGCTTAACATATAAATAAGAAATTTACAATAAAAAATTAAACCAGTCAGTAGGTTTTTTTTTATTAAATATTATAATATTATCACGCACATGAGCGTAGTCAAGGGGATACCTACGCTGCAGTCGACATTCACTCTTAATATGTGACGAAGACATTATTGGAATATAAAAAACAGTTTCAATAGAAAAATTAAACAAACACCTGAAAATACTTGCACGATCGATTTATGAATTCAGATAAAATCTACGCGATTGACGATGAAAAAATAACCACCCACCCACACCCCTTATTATTGAAAAAAATATGTGAATTATATTATATGGTAAATAAATATGAATACCAAATATGCGCAGTTCAATGCAAAAGCAGGGATGGTGATGATCGACAATATCTTCAAAAACTTAATGCATGATTTAAAATATAGAACTGCATACCTGGACGAACTCGTTCACTTCACATGAAGGAAATAATACTTGGAAGAGTTGTTCTTCAAATTAGAGCTGTATTAAAAACTATTAGCCTTGACAGTAATCAATAGAAGACTAAATATACTGCATAATCTAAAAACATTACGAGAAGAAAGCCGTAAAACACTAATATTATATTTTTCTCAAGTAAACTTCGCTGCGAAAAACTACCAGTCCAACTTTACTTAACCAGTTCAATAAATAAACAAAATTAAGGGAATTCGTATTGAAAAGCAAGGTGCCTATTATAGCTATAGTGTTAAAGATCGATAGTACCGATAATAATAGTCTAATCATGATACCAAAAAAATTTATAATTTTTTGGTTGGTGCCCTTTTAAATACAGAGAGCGATAAGCAACATTTTCAACATATCTTACTGTTTTACTATAGAAAGGGTAGAAATGCTGTGCAAGCCAGAAAGAAATTGACCAATGTGTATGGAGAAGGTGTGTTGACAGTACGCCAGTGCCAGAACTGGTTAGCTAAATTTCGATCCGGCAATTTTAATGTCGAAGATGCACCACGTTCGGAAAGGCCGGTTGAAGCTGATAAAGACGCGATAAAGGCATTAGTTGATGCGAACCGGCGAATAACAACACGTGAAATCGGAGTGAGGTTAAATTTATCAAATTCAACAGTTTATGACCACTTGAATATATAATTTAATAAAGTATTTGTTTATTATACAAAAACTGAAATTACTTTCCGAACTACCTAATATAATTAAAATATATTTAATACTTTGAATTTCTTTGTGCTACATTTCCATCATTTATATTTACAGATGAAGAAGACTTATTTATGGTCTGCGATTTGCTAACTGGCGGTGATTTAAGATATCATTTACAAAATAGGGTAAGTAAAACTTACTGACTTAAAAAACAAATTCCATTTTAGAAACCATTATAAATAAATATACCACTAATTTTTTCTTTCCTCTTCAAACGAAGTCACTTTTCTATTATCCAAAGATAGGAATCTTACAGCTCAGCTTTGAAGCAGGTTTTTTCAGACCCGCTTCACTTATTGTGATAAGAGTAATATTTTTGAAAAAATATTACTCTTAATCAGAGCGTTCGACGTGTCTATTACAAAATATACTTCGTTCTTACATTTTTTCTTTCAAATGTATTTAATGTATTCCATAAGAGATGTCCGTTAAAGATAAATAATAATATTGAAATTAAACGCCATATTTTCTTTTGCAATCGTAATAGTACTAATAGTACTATATTTTAATGTAACAATGGTGAAAGCTCCCCACGATAAGTCAAGCAAATATGAAAATCAATATTTATTTCATTCTAACATAAGTTAAACTATAAATTCGAAGTTCGAAAGTTCGAAAATGGTTGTACTCTATTATTTGGCTCCAGTACAGCGTATTTAATGTAAATTAAGTAATTTAACATATTTTCTCTTTGATTTAATAGTCGACCATTTCCGAATATTTGAAGTTATCAATCCAAAACTTCGAATTCGAATCTACTCGAATTGCTCCAGTAGATAAATGCTCAAATACTTTTAAGTACTAATAGAAAATCAAAACACTTCTCTCATGCATAAAAAATTTAATTCTCAATAATATTTTCCAACACATTTTCAAAATTTAGAATAATGTTAATTTACGAAAATATCTCTTTTATTGAATGTTTCAGGTGGAGTTTTCAGAGCAAAGTGTTGCCTTATTTGTGTGTGAATTAGGAAGTGCTTTAGAATATTTACAATTACAAAGGGTGGTACATAGGTGAGTAAAATTCCTCTATGTTAAAGAAACTTTTCGATTTTTTAACTAAATTTAAATTACTTAATTAAAATATCTGTATTTCTCATTAGGGACATAAAACCAGATAATATACTTCTAGATGAATTGGGTAAGTTCTACAACAATAAAATTTCTTTTTTATGTATGAATATTGTTAAGCACAATTTTATTGTTTTGAATATTGATAATTTGTCTTATGTATGATATGAAATAAATTTGTTTAAGAACTTTGAATATTGGTGATATAAAAAGTATCCGCCAATCTATGATAAACATGTAGTACACAAATATCGAACGTCTTTGCATCTTGTTATTCTTTTTAAATGATTCCAAACAGTCATGAATTTGATATATAATGCCTCCAGATTCTCCCAGTGACTTGTTGTTACTCTTGCTCTACCAGTTCTAAAATTTATCGACATTTTTAGTGACTGACCAACCAGAGCGAGTTGCAAATTTTACATCAAAATTTTCGGTATGGAATAAGGTAAACCACTCCAGGCATTTACTCATAGCATCCTCACCGTAAAAAGCACAAAATTTTTGGCTATTATTGTAACAGTTTCAACTTTTCTAAATTAATAAAACATCACATAGGGTATTTCTTCAGATATTTCACTTATTTTTGAATCAATATAACTTTAGAATTGAGCGACGAATTTCACAAATGCCTTCACAAAAAATGTGAATTCATGTTACCAGATATGTGGGTATTAACATCATATATTGATAAAAAACGGTGTATACTTTTCATATCGCCCAATATAACGCCTCCCATATTAATATTATTTAAACATTTTAACTTCTATAGAAAAATAATAAATCCTTGAAGTGCTTGAGAAAATCTATTACCAAAATGGTAAACAATATATATAACTATTCAACATGGATGGATTTCGTAATGTGGATTATGCCCTCTCCATGAATTCTGAGTTCGATATTCTCAATAAAATTATAGTATCGAATTTACTTTTCCGAGTCTTTTTTTTCATCGGTTATATTAAGCCCATGTACATAATTATTTAATTTGTACTTCAATGCCGGACAAATACTATTTTAAAAAATGCATGTAAATAATTAAATATTTACCAATATTTATATATATCAAGATTTTAGTGTTCAACAACTGAATTTCCAATTTTGAAAATTGCTTTCGTAAAATGTTTATATTGCAATTATCTTTAATTAGTTTTACTTCGAACCGTTGCAGGTCACGCACACTTGACTGATTTTAATATAGCAACGAGACTGCAGAAGGATGGTTTGGCATGCAGCATGTCTGGAACAAAGCCATATATGGCGCCGGAGGTTTTTATGTGTGCACTGGATGAAATTGGTAAGACAAACGCATTAAGTGGGTGTTTCTTTTTACAACTTGATTTAATTTCATAGCAAGCATAATAATTAGATTTTTTAATTAGAATTACTTAATTTTATTCTTTTTTTAAATTAATTATACAAATATTTTAGCTGGTTACAGCTTTGCCGTAGACTGGTGGTCCTTGGGTGTAGTGGCATATGAAATGCGCGCACACACTCGTCCATTTATAGTGCATTCAAACACAACGCTAGTAGAAGTTAAACATATTTTAAATTCAAACGTACACTATCCAAGATACTGGAGTTCAGATTTTATAGATCTTTTGACAAAGGTAACATAATATAGACATTTATGTATAAGCTTAGATATAAGAATATAATTTTATAGTTATTATGTGTACATCCGGGGGGTCGTATAAGCACCCAACAGGAACTACAACAGACACCATTTTTACGGCATGTTGACTTCAAAGCTATACTTGAAAAAAAACCGAAACCTTTTTTCAAACCACCGGAGGACCATTTAAATTGTGACCCGTGTCTTGAATTAGAAGAAATGATTGTCGAAACCCGCCCCTTACATAAAAAAAAGAAACGTTTAGCAAAGCAGCGCTCAGCTCAACGTGACAGCGATCCAGATAATGTTTTGGTTAAGGAGTTCTTAGTTTATAATCGCTTTAAGGAATTGAAAAGAAAGGAAATGGAAAAGAAGGAAAACGACTGGCAAAAGGAACTTGAGCATGCTATGGCTAACTCAATAATCAATAGTTTAGCACCAATACAAGAGAGACCCAAATTAGCTACCATCGAGGATGCAGAGGAAAGTTCAGTATGCCTGACATCGAATGGAACATGTACAACATCTGCCACAACTTCTGGTAAAACGCAATTATGCGCAAAATGTCAAAATCCAGGCAAAAGTGCTAAAGATAGTGATAGCATAGATTTTATTGATCGTACGCCATCACCCCAGGCAACAAATGGAACAAATGCAACAGCTTCAACGACAGTAAAACCAGAGCGCATAGCAGTTGTCGAAACAAGAACTAAAACAACAGCAGAACAAATTACTCCAAACCCGGGCACAGAGTTATGCATAGACCAAAATTAATATGTTTGAAAGTTTTGTTCTTGATGAGTCTAAAACCCAGAATCTTGCCAAAAGTGCTTAAATATCATTATTATTTTTAGAAAAAATTGAACGGAATTAAAGAAAATTTATTTAAACACAAAAAAGAAAACACTCCGAATTTTAAACATGAATTAAGCATTTGAAATTTAATTTATCCATAAGCAAACAAGCATATACCTGACTTTAATTCTAATATAATTGAATTACTAGTCCACAATTCTTTATGTTCTAATATTGCTCATCTCCTATAACTCTTTTTTATATAGAACAAGTTTTTTGAAATCAACAGTTCTTGGTAAAAAACAGAACTAGCAATTAGCTAGTTTTGCTAAATTAATTTTTGCTCATTTAGCAATTAGCAAAACGCATACGTTCCGGTGAAACAAGTTCGCTTTCTTCAGTGGATAAGTCTGCCACATCTAACGATTTTAGACCCATTAAAACTTGTTTATCGTTACTATCTGATATTACCTTATTTTTTTGAAAAAGTCAGTTTTCTTCGCACCTCGCTGAACACATTTTTTTGTCAAATAAATAATGACATTAAAATTGAAACCCAATTTTTAAGATGCAATTAGGGACCATTAAATTCGGGTATTCCCCCCTAATTGCATTTTATTTTTTGGTAAACATTTACATTAGGTATTTATTTTTATACGTAAATATGTAGGTGGAACAAAGTAAAACTTAAAATTTTTATTAGATTTATTATTAGATTTGATTAGATTTTCAATTAAACAAGTAAAAATAATTAAATACATTAAGATTTCATATTATAGCAGATAACTTGTGCGAAAAAAAATTTCTTTGGGAACCTCATCATTTTGAAATCGTGTAAAAAAGGGTTAAACGTTTATACTTATAAAATTTATATACATTAAATATTTAAATATTCAATCTGTATTGAATATATCTGAATATGTATTGAATATAAATTGAATGTATACTGAAAATATATTGAAATTATGCTGAATATATACTGAATATATTTTGCATATATACTGAATATATAATGAATATATAATGAATATATATTGAATATAATATTTACTGAACATATGTATATATTGAATATTAATATAATTAAATATTCAACATGTATCAAATACGTATTAAATATATATTAAATATAAACTGAATATATTAAATATAAACTGAATATATTAAATATATACTGAATATATTAAATATATACTGAATATATTTTGAATATATGTAAATGCTTTAAATACAATTTGAGCTGTTTTCAAGCTTTAAACATTTTAATGTTCAAATAAACCTGTACTTTAGCAGCTCGAGTATGTAAACCCGACAGCAAAAACGTCTGGGTCTAGTCCCGGAACCACTCCGCACAACCTTGCGGACTAAAATAACAATATGTTTGTACACTTCATGGTGCTGGAGTATTTATATAAAATATAACAAAAATAAATTGAAATAAAAAACAGATTTGCTTTTCGAGCTATTCCAAAATATTTAAGCTACTCGAGCGCCGTATCATGATGATCGAACACATTTTAGATCTCACTGGGTTCGCGTATAAACTTGCTCCAACAATAAAATCCTCTAAACTTTAAATAATATTTGAAACCTTGATACATAGACATTTGATATATGAAAATGGTTTATGATTTATAATGATGATTTATTTCATATAATTTTATATTCAAAAATCATTCAAATTTTTTTTTTATTTATATTAATTTATCATCTTACAACACCGAAGTCCTTTTATAGATTCCAACTTTAGGCTAAACAACCTTTCACTTTTATACTATATAAATGTAGTAAGTAGGATTGTATTGCACAATAAAAAATTGAAAAATAAATAAAAGGAACGTGACCTTTGTACTTTTAATAGAATACAATTTTAATTGTAAAAAAAAATAAATGCACTTTTTCTAAAAAATAATTTCAAATAAAAACTATGTAAATTAAAAATATATATGAAAAAAAATCAAAAATTATTTAAATATGAACAAAATGTAATTAAAAAACGTATTAACATAAATATAAAAACAATTATAAAATGAAATATAATTTTAATAAATATAAAGTCTGTAAATGTCAACTTTTAAAGTAAAAAAATATTATAAATGATAATTTAATTAAATGTGTACGACCGAAATAAATATTATATGATAGAAATGTATTTAAATATCTATTTAAAAATATTTTACTTTCAAATAAGAATTCCAAGAGGGAAGTATGCAAATCATTAATAAATATAACATTGTTATTCAATTTTTTTATATTTTTATTTTTTTTTTTTAATTTTTTTTATACATTTTTTTTGTTTGTTTATTTTACAATTCACAAGTTTACAATGTTTTTTCTTTTTGTATAAAAAAAATGGAAGCTTTATATGCTTCCATATTTAGAATGAAAAACTTACAGTTTAAAATTAATCATTTAATTTCATGAAAAAAGCAACAAATCCAAATTGTTGATATAAGTTTTGTTAGTTCAATGTATTCTTGTTAAGTTTCGTTTTAACTTTTTTTTATGTGTTTTTAATTCGTTTTTGATTTTTTTTTTTAGATTTTGAAAATTTAGTTATTTTTGTTCTATTGTTTCAGTTTAATAAAAGAAGATATATTATGAAATTTCAAGGATAAAAAGGCGTGAAGTGGACAAAACTACACTAGGCAGTAACAGATCAACTGTTTCAAGTCTGCGTAGTTTGTCATAAATTGATTAGGGCACTTGGAATTGCGTTATTTTTTAATTTTTGTTCGTTGGAGTTAAATTCAACATTAATATTGGCATAGAATCAGCAATTATGTTATTAACCTAAGTAATAGAAATTTGCTGTAAATTGTTGCATAAAATTGTAATAATTGAATTGCGATTGCTTAAATACTAATTTTTGTTTTTTATCTATGGAACACATCCATTTTTTTGTTTTCAGTTTCAAAAAGAATCACAACAATTAAATTAAAGCGTTTGTTTAACAATTTCGTTTTGTTACATACGTAATTCCAAGATTCCTAATCAAACGAGCAGCCGTTTTAAAACAGCTTGAAATTCATACTATACAGTGGTGGTGTCTACAGACTCAATACGTGTAGCACCAGCCTCACCACTCTCATCTGTAGCACCATTCTTCTTTTTATCATCGAACTTAATTAGCTTAACATTAACATTAACAACTTTGGTCGATGGAGCCTTATCAGTTTGTGGGGTATCACCATTGCCACTGTTATCTTCAGTATTAACAGTCAATGAAAGCTCGTTCAATGAGTTTAGCACCTTATTGATGTCATCTTCAGTGCTGGGAGTGCCATTACGATTACCAAAGTGTAAAAAGCATTTACCCCTGTGTCCTAGATATCACAGTAAACATTAAAACAAGATTCGAATATTATTACAAACGTTTAAACTTACCCTTCCAGGTGATGTAGAGTGGATTGCATTCACGCTTGCGCAATTCGGTCTTGAGATCTTTAACGCGCACTTCACGTGATATATTAGATAATTTAATGCAAAAATCACGGGAGGGACGATTACTTGGTTTATGCTTGCGTTCAGGACGATCACCGCCAGCACCACCTCTACGATCCTGGCTTTTTCCTTCAGCAGCAGATTGATCACCTTCAGACTATACAAAAATAAAAAATAACAATGTTAACAATTTTATACAACTTTATGATATAATATTTTGTACCTTTGTTGGACGGCGTCTGCGGTTAAAGAAACGACGTTGACGACGGGGATTGCGTTTCTGTTGGTTTTCCTGTTAACAAGAATAATTATACAATAATTAATAATTTATAAGTGTGTACATAAATGTTTTTTATATTTACATTGCCTTGCTGTTCGGTGTCAGTTTGAGATGTAGCACGACGTGGATATCTACGTCCACCAACGCGACGACGATAAGTTTCACGACGGCGATTGCGATTAACTTGATTTTGTTCGATATCGGTATCCTCATCCTTAAGTGTGATTTCTTTACCAGCTTTAATCTGAAAGTCTTTGAGGGCCTGCAAGGATGTTACAATTTTAATGCGACGCTCAGAAAGCAACTCCCAATAAATGCCAGTGGGACGTGGTAAACGATTGGTAACACGTATAACTTCAGTGGGAGTTACAATCAAATCAACTGGTGTATCATATTTTTGAAACAAATTGGTGGGCAAACTATCAACGACCTAAAAATAAAAATATATATATATAATAAGCTATTTGATTCATAATCGTCTAACAATAGCATTCAAATGATATAATCTCTTATTTAAACATAATATATAAAGTAAAAGTTGCCCCTCGAACAATATGCTGTCTTTATAATGTTGACAGCTGAAGCCACGTCTACAGTTTTTATTAAATTTTCTTCTTTAACTTAATGTAAATGTAAGATATTCACATATTAATAAAGAAAGGACGAATTATATAACTAATAACTAATCCATAATTTAATAAAAAATTTATAATAGATATGTTGCATTAACCGGGGTAATCCTCCCTTTTTTGCGAACGGTGATATTACGATGGTAGTACTGACGGATTCATAGGTCAATAATAACGACTGACCATTGTTGAATAAAAGTATATTATTATTGATATTATTTAAAATAATTATTTTTAGTTACTATTATTTGCTCACTAGTAACAGAAATGGCACAATATAAATAGAGGTTACAATATACAAATATTTGAGTAAAATCCAATTGAATTAAAGAAATATTTTTAGTATTTACACCAGTACGATTACCATCTAGTAGCAGAAATCTTTATACTCTATATAACATTACCAAGTATATAATCAGAAATTATTTCAAATCGAAACTCAGTATTGCATATCGAATATCTGACTGGAACTAAACAAACTTACAAGACTTGGTATCTGCTGGTAAAAGATATGTAAGAATCTTTAAAATCACAACTTAAAATTTGATGTATATTATATAAATACAGCCAAATTCCTTTCAAGTTAGGAAATAAAATTTATTTTATAATTGAAATTGTGGTTTTTTGTAAAAAACTGTATATACTTTATATTTTACGAATAAATATGAAGTATCGTACATTGTTAAATAAGTTATCAACTACTATGATAAGAAAACTAGCTAATATAATATAAATTAATATATATATATATTGTATAATATAAATTTTTAAATGCAACAATTTAAAGCAACACTTAAAATACCTTATTATATCATTCTTATTTTTTTAAACAACGTATTGTTTGGTTATTGTTTTTTCAATAATATATTTTTATAGTTAAACTATTAACTATGTTGTGTCATCTTTATCTTACCTGGATATCATGAACGAGTGTAACAATTATTGTCTCTGGAGTTATTGCACCACTTTCAATAAGTACACCAACAACAAGGTCAGCGAAACCATTGCCACGTCCAATTCGATAACCATCACGCGATACAACAACAGAACCAATAACAACCATGTCTAGCTTAACCTTATCATCAAGATCTGAAATATTTCAAACAAAATTGTTACAAGGTTTACAGATAAATAAATATAAATAAATAAAACATGAAAACCTAATACAAGAATTTAAAATTCTTTAATTTTTAATTTCTGCGTTTAAATATTTACTTAAGTATTTATATATATGTATTTAGTTTCTATAAATGTAGGCAGACCTACTATTAAATGAATCTTTTAATAAAACAATGTAAATCGAAACTATATAAGTCAATATTTTTTTGCCAATATATTATACGTTAGCCGATTTCATCTTGTAGCTTTTAAAGCATATATAAAACAAACTATTTTTTATATGGAATAGGACACATATATTATGCTAGCTGAGGTTTTGGGGTATTTATGAATAAACCTCATTTAAACAAGAAACAGACACGGCCCAAGAAAGATGTATTAATATAATAAGATTAATGTAATAGAAAAAAAGCTTAAAAAATGATAAATTCAAACCATACTTTACTTTGTACAATATTGTATTACTATGCATATTATATAAAATATTGTATTTATACGAACGAATAGTATAGGAACAGTTAACGTACGGGCCAGTGGACTAATTAACACTGACTCTGAGTTTCAAATTCGATAGGGTACAAATTCAACCCTTGATACTCGCAGTCTAAAAAATTATTTATGAATAATTAAATATAAGATACATTTTCAAAAAAACCACAGATGAGAGGTACGGTACTTCGCAATACTCGAAGCAGCTGTATGGTCAGCCAAAAATACAATTGACTAAAAAGAAGATTTTCGTTACTACTATACTATAATTCCAAAATACATTACATCAAAGTAATAACTAAATGACCAAATTTTTAACTAACATTTTTAACCCGAACTATTATTAGACTTACGTATTTCAGTGCGATGCTGTTGAACATCTTGAACACGTAAACATTTCTTTTTTTGTTCCTCAGTAGCATTTTCAGGTACATCAACCTTAAGGACAATTGCGTTAGATGCACGAGTTGCAGGCAAGTAAAGATTCTTGTCAGCAAGCAAAACTTGTAATTTGACAGCATGTAAAGAGCGATCCATGTTGACTTGGATATTCTCTATATTTTCAAAGAAAAAAAAATAATGGTTATAATTTTATCAACATTTTATGCATATTACTTTATTTTAATACTTACGAGCATTTTTAAAATCGTCAGTCTCAGTCAAAAGTGTGGCAGCCTTATCGCTTTGCAGAAAATTGGGAATAGAATTGAAAATAGCGCTATAACGTACACCACATTTGTTCTCACTGAATTTCTTCCAGGTTTGAACACGGAGAGAACGCTTTGTTGGTTCTGCGGGTTGTGCTATAAAAAGATCATACAAAAATTAATTTAATTAAAAAAATAATATGTATACATTTGTGTGATATAATTATTAAAATTTTTATAATTTTATAGCATCAAGTGCTCCAATTTTTGTTTTTTTTAGCCATTTAATTAGTCATCAAATTAATTTGTAACACATAAATTCAATGGCAATATAATTTATTAATATTTCAGTTGTTGTTGTTGCTGCTGCATTGGCTCTGTGTGTTTGTTTATATTTATTAATGCATTGCGTATAAAGCTAAAAATAATTTTACTAAATTTTGTTTATTTTTTGTCTTTTTTTGCGATAAAAATACGAGCGAAGTAAATTAATGACAATGAGGAGTGGTGTACAATTTCAGCATTAACAGCTGTTTTTGTAAAATGATGTTGCATATCAATATAAATATATAAATAAATATTTTTTTATCAAAATATTAATAAAAACAACAAAAAACTTATTTGCAATATTTTAACTGCAATAAAAAAGTAATATTTAACTGAGAATGTTGGCCTATACACACGGTATGAGTTAATTTGTTATTAACTGCTGATCCGAATTAAGTTGTTGTTGTTGATTTACAAAAGTTATCCATAAAGTTACTTAATTTGTATAATTTGTATAATATTTTTATTTTTTGTCCAGCTGCATTAATCAAACTGGAGCTTTTTGACAATGTCATGCCTTCATAACCACAGCCATCGCTAATGATGAATCAATTAATCATTAATAAATTATAAAAATAATTAAGTTATTTAATTTTTAATTTTACCCTAATAAAATTATTTATAAATTAATAATAAAAATAAACAAAATAAATCAAAAATCTATAAATAATTTTCTTAATGCTTCTTTGTGATTGAGCAAAACCTTAAAATGTTCCCGTGTCTTCAATCTTTAATAGCACTTTTTTCAAATGAAACTTAATATATTCCTATAATAATATTGTCCATTACATTCAATTGTTTATTGTTTAGATTCCCATTTATTTTTTGCAGTATAGATAAGCTATTAACTTATAGTAAAAATAAGATGTATTTTAAGCTATGTAAAAGAAGGGAATCTATTTTAATCTATATTTCAAATGAAAATCCTAATCCTAAGCTAGGCTAAGAAATATTAACGAAATCTGCGATTATATAGTCATGTCATATGTTTCGAAATTGCATTAACATTAATTAGAATTAATAGATATAACATTAGGTGCATTCGCCCACTCCGAATTCCGGCAAAAAAAGAACAAGTCTCTAATTAGTACGCAAAATAACAATACTACATTTTTAGTTTAAAAGACCAATTAATGAAGTGTCTTATCGTTCACCTGCTGTATAATATTTAACCCATTGTATTTTCTATATTATAGTAATGGGTTCATCAATACATATATTTTTTGTTATTAATTTTATTTATTCTCAAAATATTTCTATTACTTTTCTACATACAGCCAACCAGAGCATATATATACAAATTTTCAAGCTGCAGAGTTCAGTAAGTGTAGCTAGCAAGCATCAAAAATTAATGCATCAAAAATTAATGCATCAAAAAATTAATAGTCAAAAATTACTCAAGTGTGGCATGGGCCTATAAACAACATTGCCTATAAATGCAATTCATGAAAATATTTAAAAATTCGTATATGAAATGCTAACGCATACGAAATTACATGCACGTGTTAATTAGCACTGATGACGTATTATTTTCTCATGAGAGCTCTATGTACTCATGCATGGTCTTATCAGTAGAGACTTTTCACTGTAGAATCAGCAACATAACAAAAATTGTATACATAGCATCACACACGTTCACAGAGATGAGTGATTAATTTGAACAATTAAAAAAAATTACTTTAATAAAAAAAAATTTTAGTTATTTACGTAGGATTGTTAGAGACTATTTTAATATAAGTATAAAAATTTAAATAAAAAACTATAGGGGTATTTAGACGTAGACCGGTAATTCGGTAATCTGTAAAATTGAAGAGACGTTCCAAGGCGATTTTACAATCACTATTTAATTAGGGTTTAAAATAAGTAATAAATGTTGCTTAAATTTAATTTTGGTTCATAATGAAGTTAACTAATATCTTGTAATTAAATAAAAAATTAAATAATGCTACTGTATGTTTGAAATTATATTGTTTCTTTCATTTTAATGCGAAAATTAATACTTAAAACACATTTCAATTTAAAGGTATAACATGAACTCATTTCATCAAAATAATGAAGAGCTGTTGCTTGAGTAACTTAAATTATGATTAAGTGATTAACTTTGTTGACTCTTAAGTCATTCTGCTCCTGAATATAGTAATAAATTATGATTGTAAAAAGAATTTCCAAAGCAATAAACACTAAAATTCATGGCAATAAAAAAAAAAATACCCATCTTATTGTTGTTGTTGTGGCCCGCAGAGAACTAGGTGAAGATAGTGTGAGAGCTGAGGAAATTGTGTAGGAAAAAAACTTGGTTGGGGATCAGTCGGATTTAAATTGAAGTCAACCAGGGTCAAAGCGAAGAAACCTAGCCACTTCAAATTATAGTTCCAAGGTCAGTTGAGTCTACGTTCTATAGCCACTCATTGGATTGGATTCGATCCAGTGCCGTTCAACACTCCAAAAGGGGACTACACAGGTTCTAGTTTTTAACACTGAACATTTCAGCAATCAATAAATTAGGTATATGATTATCACACACAAACGTAATAAACAATAACATTACAAAATCGGAAGCATAACTAAAATAGAGAAAACTCGTTAAACAAAGAAAAATTAGCAAATAAATTACTAAAACTACAGTGTAAATTTCCCGAAATTTGTCTAGTCTAATCTGGATGCCTAATATCAAAAGAAGACTACTTCGAAAAAGATGAAATAAACTTTAGGTGAGCTGGGTGAATCTTAACAACTTCGATATGTGTTAACTTTGTACCTTTGGCTATGTTTTTTTTTTCGTAGCAACTTAAAAGATGTTAATATTATTATCTGCGTTTCAGAAAACAATGATCTTGTGCCTTTTTTATTTTGAAAAGATTTATATTTTGGCATTATATTTGTCTATTTACAAAATGGTTTTCTACTTTTCCACTACCTTTTATTAATATACCTTTTATTAATACCTTAATATAAAAAATATTCATATTTCCCTTAAAGTAATCAGTTTTGCATTAGTTAAACACCATTAGTTTCAAAACCCCGTTATTTGCATGATTCAGAGATGCAAAAACAAAGCTCGATATATGCTGTGAGGCTGTAATTTGATGTATGTTTGTTTATGTTCACTTAACTTCGTGAATTTTGATATTTTTATTAATTTACTAAATATTCTGTTAAGTTGCATATATACAATTTTTTGTTTTGAATAAAATTTTGGAACTTCACGTCTAAATCTACAAAAATATTGCTTGCACGAAATAAGCAGTGAGCCAGTGTATATTCTACATTATATCAGAACTTGTACTAGATTAATTGCCTTGTTAGTTTATCAGATTATAGTTTGCTGATATACAAATATTGTGCTGTAATTGTGACAGATATCGACCTCAATTTTGACCGAGATTTAATTTATAATATCATAATTTTCAAGGACGCATATACCAGAGTGCTGTACTTAACTATTAATTTTTATGTGTTGAACATAAATATTATTTAGTTGAAAAAGTTTCAAAATATACATATACCAAATATTATTTTGCGTTAAAAAAATTATCGTTCAGTAAGTCCACGCATAAATTGTAATATTTTAGTCATAAGAGGTGCATTTTTTTCGCAGAACAATTTCAGTAGAAACTTAAGCAGTATCTCTTTATAATATATGTTCTTGTTGTTTAAATATCATAAGAAAATATAAACTATAATATAATATAAATCAAAACTAATTTTGTATGGTTGGTTGCAGCGGTAGGCCATTAGATAAACTTCCATGTACCTCAATTAGCGATTTTTCGCCCTTTTTCTTCCACATTTCTCGCAAGTACTCTAGTACAGAAGAGTAGAGACTAAATCCATACCGCCAAATTTAGATAATTTCTAATTTTATCTATCTTATTATCCAAATTATCTAAACTATCTAATTTTGTACATAAATAAAAATTAATTTATTATAAATAATTATATCAAATACAAAAAAAAGTATTAAAATTTTTATATATCAATTAATTGTTTATATAATCTTTTATCAGTATAAAATAAATAAATAAAACAATTTTGCCCACTGTACATTAATGTTAAAATGGAACTATTGCTAACATTATGTTAAAAACAATAACAATTCGCCTAACAGTTATTTATGATCTCATATGCAACAACAACAAACAAACAAAACTGCAGCATTTTTTCTTTCAGTTACGCTTTTTGGCAGTGTTCGTTCTCGTCTCCACTGCTGATATCAGGAGTTAATCACTGATTTTATCAAAAACTGTACGTAAGTAAAGGCAGCAAAGCTTAATAGCAAAAAAAAAAAAAAACAATAAAAATAAAAATAATGTCATAAACCGGTTTCACTGCCGAAAATAACTTCAAAATAGAATAAAAGCAGAAATACAATAGAAATTATTTTAGCAATTAACATGAAAGATTAAGCAACAACAGCGGTTTTTTAGAGAATAGTTGAGTGTAAAAAAAAAATATTTAATATTTTTTTCTAACCAAAATAATAGTAAATATGTATATTTAAATTATGCAAAATGTTAAAAAATAATATTTGCGTATGTAATTTATTTAAACAATTTTATTCTATTCGATACTCGACGACTACGATGACGGCGGCAGAAATTCGTTTAAAATTTGTTGTTGGCATTCATCAACGATGAGCAAATCAACCAACTACAAATGTATGCCATGCCCGTTACACCGCGCGTAAAGTTTGCACCGCTGAAGCCGAAGAAAATGAAAATTAACAACAAAAAATAAACGTATTAATAATTTTTTATTTAAAGAGTACTTGTAGTTTAATATAAAAAAGAAAAAACATTAAAAGTTCTATGTTTTTTTATGAAGCTTTTCATTAGAAATGTAACAACAACAACAAGGCTGACAAACATATTTTGTATTAAAAAAAAAAAACTGAGAAGTTATGAAATGGTCAAAAAACTATTCAAGTTTTATTTTTCATAACATTACGAAAACTAGAATCAAGGTCAAGACTGGGCGTGGTTTGTTGCTATTACACAATTGAGTAATTAAAAACTAAAATAAAATATACATAAATCATCACATGAGTAAAGTGTTGAGACGACTGACTTGTCATAGATTAGTTTGATTTTAACTTTGGATTATTAAGTGAAAGATCCCCCTCTACCGTTCAGAGACATAAAAAAATAAATGGATGTATATATAGGTCAAATTATATTCATATGTAAAATTATATGTATAGGGATGAGAATATAATTAGATAACATGATCTATATTTAGACTTTCAGATTGTATACAAAAAAAACACTCAATGCGGAAGCTCCCAACCAAAAAAAAAAAAAGAAGTACAGAGGGCTTAACAAGTTTTTTATATTCATATATTATATGTATTAAGTATCTGTTTTATATAATCATAAGTATGTATACATATGATTGAATCCTGAAGTTTGGTGAAAAATTTAGTTGGTCACTACAAATAAGAGACCTATTACTTAATAAATAAAAAAAAAATAAGTAAGAAAAAAATGTATTTGGTATCTGTTTTATATATTCATATGTATGTATACTAAAAACATTTTGAGGTTTAAATAGGTTGGATCCTGAAGTTTGGTGAAAAATTTAGTTGGTCAGAAAGTTAGTTTTCACTACAAATAAGAGACCTATTACTTAATGAAAAAAAAATTTTAAAAAATTTAATTTAAAAAAATTATTTAATTTTTGAGTATTTAGAAAAGTCTAAATTATTTTACTTACATCTCTCTAACTTACTTTAATTTCATAGATTTATAAACTATAAATAGTGGAAATACGTGACAGATAACATAACATATCATATGTATAGTTAAAGAATAATCGAATTCATAGAAAAAACTGATGTCACAAAGTAATAAATAGTGTCATATAAAGAATAATAGATATAAAAAAATTTATAGGAAATTTTTAGTTCCAATATGGTAAGTGCTAGCTAGAAACATGTAGGTAATAAATAACATCAAAATTCAAAAGATCAAGCTTAAGATTCATAACGTTAATTTAATTTAATTTAAAATATATATAAATAAATATAAAAATCCAAAATTATTTCAAGAAAAAAAAAAATTCAAAAATCTTTTAAAATTTCTTGGTATAAATATTTACAAAATAAATTTTATTCTAGCTTACAAAATATGAATAACTAAATCATATACTAGAACCTAATACTAAAAGGTAAACAAAAACAAAACAAAAGGTAAACACTTTAAAAAGTATATATGGGAATTTCTGTAAAAGATACAATTAAAAAATCTTTAACATCATTTACTAAAGTAATTAAATCATACTAGAAAAGTAAGTCCCACTCCCTTTTCATTATTTCTGTCGTAGTTCTGGAGAGAACAATGAAAGGACCTCACGTCTGGTTTGTTACTGACCAGCCCATGCACCATTACTGATTTTTAAACCTCGCTGTTATGACATAAACTAACTAAGAAAATACATATTAACTCGACGTTTACATTGGCTGGAATTAAATATTTTAAATTCGTAAAAATTTGTATATGTTGGTGAATAAGGTTGCAAATTGGAGAACCCATAAGTACGTAAAGTAGTAAAAAATTCAAGAAGTAATATAAAAACATAGATATGTACTGGTGAAATGTATGACTAATACATTACCACGAAAATACATTATACATATATATATATAAGGCTACACAAATGTCGGGAGTTGATTTTTAGATAAAAGGATGGATCCAGAAAAAAAAAATTATATAGGAGGAAGTACTACTAATATTAAGCAAGGATATAGAGTGGCAAACCAGTACAATATATGTCAAACTCAATACATTAAAGATTTCTAATAAGTAAGTAAGCTAAAAAAGATTACATAGTGTGACTCCAGATGCAACCGGGTCCACCTTTCAAAGCCATATGACTTTTCAGACAAAAAAGTTTCGTTCGTGCCTCCTAAAAAGCGTTACAGCAACATTGACATGGTGTAAAAATAAAGTGCATAGAACATAGGGTAGACAGTTGCTCGAAAAAAAGTCAGTATGACAAAAATGATTTTTTTTGTTATTATATAATTACATATTATAAAAAAATCTAAAACCATGACTGTATAAAAGGCAAGGTTAAATTGATTCGTGTGACGTCCGTAATGAAAATAACTATTTCTTTTAGATCAAAAAATTTTAATTGTTATAAATATATCAAAAAAATTTTAATTGTAAATATGCAAGAAAAAGAATTTTATGTGTTATAAACAATGGATACGTAGGCTTTAAAAAACAATAACATTAATACAGAAAATAGTTTCTGTAAATATTAATAGAAATTAAGGCAATTTTGAATTATGTTCAGCCATAAATATTTATTTCTGATTATTATTGTAGTTCAACTAAAAGTTTCTAATACTTGGAGAGTAACATAACCCATAAATCTAGTTTTTCTCAAATATATTTTTTAATATCGAAAATTAGACTGTGAAAAACACAATTTCGTCTGTAAATTTAATTAGTATTAATTTTACAATAATATTTTTTAAATCTGAGAGTTGAAGTACTTGAACATATTAAAATTTATTAAAAACTTTGAACCGAAATACTGGCACCGTAAATATGTTACTGTTAAGACAATCCACACCGGTAGATATGTTTAAATGAACATATTTTATCAATTTAATTATATATTTAAAAGTATATTTATGATTTGTTGATACACCTGAATACAAATGTTTTTTTAACAGTCTTAATTATTTTTTTTTGCCTATTTTATTTGATCTAAGCAGATATGTATAGGCCAGAGCAACGCAACACATGTACATGTACACGCATAAGAACAGTAATAGATTTAAAATAAAAAACACAAATTTCACAATTATAACCTCAAAACTTTTTAGTCATGGATTAATTCACAAAAACAACATTTATGCAGTAATAAAATGCAGTTAAAAGTTAACTGTCTTATATGAAAAATTATAAAAACGAAGTGCCGTTATTGATGAACGCATGCAACTGTCTCGAATCAATTCAAAAAATATATTTCTACATATTTATATACATATATAAATTTATCAATATTTGATAATTCATTTTATTACTTCACTTTTTATATAAAATGCAATAATGTTGCACATGCAAAATTTGATAACCGCGCGCAATCAAAAGACGCCTCATTTGGCCTTGATCTATTGTATAGGTATCTTACAAAAACAACAACAACTTTTTCTTAACAAACATAGACAATGTGTCATCATTTTATAAACATTTTTCACTTTCAGAAAAAAAAATTTATTTTAACTTACTTGTAGATGAGACTTCTTGGTTAACGTTGCCGCCATTCTCGTTAGCTGCAGCAGCTGGAACTTCAGCATTAGTTTGTTTATCCATTTTTCCACGATAGAAAAAAAAGCAACCGCTTTTATTCCCTTCTTACTTTGTTCTGTCAATTGTTTTTCGGTTGTGCCAAAACCACGTTTTCTCGGTTGATTATAATTTACCAACGCAGTTCGTCCCCTTTTCGCTTCGTAATATACTTGAAAATTCTTCTGTTTGTCTTTTTCTAACAAATAAAAACAGGTAACTTCAGTTTTTTTTTCTACTCGAATAAAATGTCGGCTAAAAAAATTCTCGTCGATTATATGTTATTCAGTAATATTTGAATATTTTAAAATATTTTTCAATGTTAACTTTAACTTTTTTCATTTATTTTTTTTTTCTTACTTATTTCACGAAAAAAATCGACTTTAGTTGAAGGGGGTTGACAGAAATATCACGTCAGCTGCAGAAAACTATTTTTGTGGACGATTCTCAACAGAGCTCACGAAGCTGTGACTCGTATTTTTTTTCAAACAATAATTTTATGGAAATGTTCTTGTTTCACTTGGAGAAAATATTAATCCATACAAATTTTTAATATCTTGCCTATGATACTGCAAATGACAGTTCAGTGTTGTAACTGCATTCGTTATTTAAATTTTTAAATGTCATTTTGTATCATATGCACTTTAATATGAAATTAAATAAATTCCATATAATATAAATATATGCATCATATTTGTTAATTATATTATATGAAATATTATAACAAAAATTAGTATGTTTATATATGCAAAGAAACCTCTATAATTTGAATCCCAGGAAGACAGCAAAACAGCTTGATTAACGAATGGTTTAATTTATTGAGTTAGAAAATAAAGGAGGTTAAATTATTAATTTTTATTTTATATCATATCATTTAAAAATTAATGATAAAAAAATCACATATTTTAATTAGCATATATATGTTTGTATATATTATAGATATTAATACATATTATATGAGGTACACACAATATTTTTATTGCATTTTATATCAAATTATTACGTTAAGTTGAGATAAATAATATCTTCAAATAAACAAATATAAATATAGACATTTTTTAAATATAATCATTAAACAATATTAAGACTCAAATTTTACGAAAATTTCAATATGTAAAGTAAGACATTAAAAAATTTCGGATTTCAGATATAAAAGATGACAGAAATTATTATGAGAATAAAAATCTAATAAGAATTGTTGAGACTACCGCATTAAAAAATTCAAATTATTACAGTTTAAATAATTGAAATATTTATTTTATTATAAGCACTATATGCAATAATACTATTAACGTACATACTTATAATGAACTTATTCATTTCATTTTCAACGTATCACATTAAAAATATATAAAACTTTTATGTGTGCAAAATAAACTAATTATTTATAAGTATTTTTCTGTAGTATATATATTATTAACACTATATTAATATATATATATATTAACACTATATATAACACTATATATATATATCTTCTATATATTAAAAATGTCCTAATATCATCGAAAATCAATCACAATCAAAATGGTTTACTTTAAAAACAGTTTAATTCATTATATCTGTGATACACATTTGTCTGTTTTCAGCACTTTTTGGTAATTTTTTGGTCTGACGATCACATTCTATGATTTGCCTAATAATTATAACTATATATAGAAGGATATTGTCAGTGCATTTTTATTTATCTTTTTATTAAAAATTGTATTTTATAAGCACAGCTTTTTGCTTAAGTTTTTGCACTGAAGAATGTACCCATATCAATAATATATATTTTGCGATATTTTGGGAATCAAAGCAAATAACTTGTAAGACAGTCTAATTAATAGAAAACTGAGGAAAATTGTTATTTATTTTAATCTCCATTCAATAATTTATTTTGTTACTATATATTCCCAAACACCGACGAATACAAATAAATTTTAGCAGTTATTTTTCTTATTGCTTGTATCAGTTACTTTATTTTCGATAAAAGCACAATCTTGATTAGTCGTTTTTTCTTCAACATATTAAATTGTGCTTTAAAATAAATCTATTATCGAAGGTATAACTAGTAAATTATAATTGCCCACTATAGCACAAATCAGTAGTAATTGACATAGCTTGGTCTAGAAATTTTTTATCAAAATTATTTTGACAAAAGGATTATTTTTCATCCTTCTGAAAAATCACCTTTACACTGTTGTGGTATGCAAATTCAGTGTGAACAATTTGATAACATTGAAATAGTAACGTTAAAATTTTAATTAATTGTCTATTAACAAGTTTTAAAATTATATGTTTTTATAAATAAAAAAATGCACATTACAGACATATAAGTAAAAACCGAAGCCACATGGGGACTGAGGTTTTAAAATCACAGTAATCTTAAGTATATCTTAATTATCTTTGTCACAAACACATCACCGTATAGCTTGTGACATATGAAGTGGTGTTACCATGAGCGTAAGTTCTGCATCTTTTAGGTTTGCTCCACGTAAATTTGCTTCCTGTAGATCACTGCCCGATAAATTACATCGTTCCAAATCCGCACCTGCTAATACGGCTGCTCGTAAATTGCAATTTTTCATATTAGCATCCTTAAGATTTGCAACACGTAAGTTAACACCACCCATATAACTGCTTTCCAAACAGGCACCCTTTAGATTAACACCTTCAAGATTAGTACGCAAACCAGATGGATCTTCAAAATTGCAGCCACGTAAGTTTGCACCCTCCATATTAGCACACAGCCCTCGCACAGCTACAAGTTGTGAACACTCAAGATTGGCAAAAGCCAAATCCGTACGTTCCAGGCAGCAGTAGGTAAGGTTAGCGTGTGATAAATTACAACGTTGCATACATGCATACTTGAAAATGTAAATGTTCAAACTTAAGTCAAAATGAGCATTACATTATTTTGTGTTAGTTACCTTAAAATTAATGTTCCGAAAATCTAGTTTTCTCAAATCCGCTCCTGCTAAGTTAACACCCTGAAAACGTATTTCTGATATGTGGGAGGTTTGTATAAGTGCTTTAATAACATCACGACGAGTCAATGGTAAGTTATCAATTGATTGATTTGTTTGTTCCTCTAACTGCGATACAAGCGAATAAATACCAAAAAATCTGGCTTCTTCTAGCACACCTTCGGCACTCATATTTGAATCTAATATCAGTTTACCATGTCGCAGGTAATTCAGTATAGGTTCAAAATAATGTGCACTACGATCAATCAAATATGCTCCTTGCTCGTCTTGTTCACTTGGTATCATACCACTATTTTGCGAAAACATACGTGCTAACATACTATTCGGCTCCTGACTTACAAGCGTGCATAAAGTTGTCATAAACACTTTACCACCCACATTAAGTTTAATCCACTTTGAAGTTGAAAATGATGTTTCTTCATCATTCTTTACATTACTTTCATTTGAAGTTAAAAAAACAACTTCTTTGGAAGTAGGCGTCAAGTTTCTTTCATTAATTTTTAATGCACTGGATTGTTCAGTCATAATTTGCGCGAATGATAGAGTTTTCCTCTATTATTCGCAAAATTATTGAAACATAAAATGCATAAAATTCAAAAAGTAGACAAAAATCAAAATCCCCACACCTCTACGTTAAAAAACCAAAATATTTTGTTTAATATTTTCATTCAAGCAAAAGTGCAAAAATATAAGGATGCCACCGTATTTCAAACGCACAATGAAATGTCAAATCTGAACATATGATTTGTACTTGAGAAGTGCTGGAAAGTGAGAAGATATCGTAAGTCTTATGGATAAACACCGATATAAGAAAAGAAAGTGCTCTCAAACCAGTGACTGCCTTTGTCGATAAAATGCGTTAAACGAATATGTTATATGCATAATATATTGGTTTACCAATTTATGTATAAAAATACAATAAACAAATTGAGATAAATAAAAATAAGTTCATTGGCGTTTTTAATTTGAGCATATGACCTAAAACTAATTTTTACAATGTAATTTATTTCAGCCCATAATGTTATATCGATCCACGCTGGATCGAACTTGCTAAGACAGATTATTAGAACACTAAGACAGATTATTTTAAATCACATATTTAAAAATGTTTCCAGTTTTTTGTAGAAATTACGTTGTGATTTTTTAGGTCTCGGAGCAGTAGAGTAGAATTGGTTTGGTGCTGATATTGAAAGTTCTGACTCAATCACATATTGTTATAATATGAATTTAAGTATGTAATATCTCTAATCAATGGGTATACTAAAATTTTGATAAAATTTTTCAATTTAATATAATTAAAGAACCAAACAATTTCGTGACTTCTTTTATATATGTTAAAACTGTTCTTCTAATTTAATGTTTATTTTATATTTTGCAGTTATAATAGCAAATAGTTAATTTTCTTAAGTTTTATATAACTAGTTAACATTTTATACTAATGTTTTTATAAATATAAATTCATAATTAATTAAAACTGCAATTATTTTAGCCTTAACAAATGGTATGAACACACACATTTTTTATGGCTTACAATGAAGATTCAACAACCAATTTCAAGGATTAGCAGAACGAGTGAAAAGTGAAATTGAGAGCATTTGTATTTTGATTGACTAAGCTTTAGTGTGCATTGCAAAACTTTTAATATCTCAGAGTAAAATGTTATCAAAATACAAGCTTTGATTTACTTCCTGCTCCCGAAGTAAATATGGGAGCAGGCCTAATATATTAGAATTTAATATGACACTTTATACAACTGTTACAGGTACTTAGGTGTGCATTGTAAAAGTCAATATCTTAGAAAAATATTTTATCAAAATATAAACTTTAAATATGAGAAGTACTTGAATTTCATTGTATATACGTATATTACAGTTGGAAAGCTTGTACCAAAGTTAATCTCTCCAATAGGACTCAGTTATTTATTCTCTAACTTTTCACGTTTAGAAACATTTCGCAACACTGTCACATCATTTTCGTTTTGACATTTCAACCTTTTCTGTCGGCGACGTTGTCATATAAGCAAGAGGAATACAAAATTAGAATTATTTAATATATTTTGTGAAGGAGTCGTGTTCACATATCTTTGATTAGCATTCTTGAAGTGAATTTTTAATTAAATAAAACTAACATTTTATTTTGTCAATATGGCAGCTGCAGTTGAACGCAGCCAACGTGGTGTTAGTAGAGTATTAAGTAAATTGGACATCTCTATAGACTCTGGAAACTATTATGAAGCACATCAAATGTATCGAACTTTGTATTTTCGATATGTGGGCCAAAATAAATTTGATGAATGTTTGGAACTACTTTATAACGGATCCTTGAAATTATTAACGAAAAAACAAGAAACGAGTGCAGCTGATTTAGGTTTGCTACTTATTGATACATTGGAAAGGCGTAAGAATAAGGACGATGTTGATCTATGGATAGGACAATTGACAACAATTATATCACGCCTGAGTCCCAATATTGTCGAAAGAGAAACACTCATTGTAAGTAATTACATAAATGTTTATATTATATATAATTTATGTATATACTCGTATGCATCATACATTAATCATATTTCAGTGTATGGTTTGGTTTGATGTCTGGTTTGCAGACGAGCAGACTACTTCTCAGAATAGATAGAAATAACAAAAGTATTGAATTCTTTGTTTACTTAAATGGCGCGATTTGTTATTATAAGAAACGCTAATACAACAGTATTATTTAATTCGAATAACTGTTTTACTTCGAAATGTATAAAAATCCTTGAAATCAAAAGCGTTATTTTAATAAATTTTTATTAAATTTTATAAATTTTTTTTTTGTATATAAAACTAGTAACTATAATTCTGATAATGATATTGATATATTATTGGGGTTTAGTATTGACTTTATGGCGCCCGACTTATAGGTGATTAGTAATTGTGAACTTATAAGTTAATCAGAACAGAACTAATCTTATAAGTAAATTTTTTTATACAAGAAATGATATTGGAACTGCAATAGTGTAAAATGGGATATAAATGAATAAGTAGAATGCATCAGCTATTGATAGAACAAAATAAATTATTTTTAAAGAAGTACTATGATAAACTTGCTAATGTTACATAGACCTAGTCAACAAGTTCAATATAAAATATATGAAAGTAACTATCTCAACTAGAGAGCTACGTCAATATAATAATATTAAGCTTTACATATTACTAAGCCTTGCATAAGTACTTCGTTAACCGTTACTTTGTTAAAATTGGCCTAACTTGGCATTGATGGTTTAGTTATTGATGGTAAGCTTGCCAAGAAATGCCTCTAACCGATATAAAATTGATCTATAAAACATAGTAGTAACTACATTTATCTAAGTATCATCAACCTTTAATATTGTAACTCAACTAGCAGATGCATTAGTTCTTGGATAACCTGGTAAGATCAGAAAAGCTCAAACAAAAGTACTGAATATTGACAAGTGGCTTCGGAAAGTGCACCAGCCCGTTCTTAAAGCCATAATTTCTGTTCTCTTTAATTTTTCTTCTTATTCTATGTTGAAATAGCTCTTGCATTAAACCAACTTTAAATATTTTTTGTTTTTCTATTTAGGAGTTATTATTAAAATTATTTTATTCTAGAATCGTGCAATTAAATGGAGTGCTGATATATCAGGTATACCACATGGTCATCCATCCATGCATAAACATATCGGAGAAATCTTTTGGAATGATGGCAATATCGAGCAATGTAGACATCATTTTTTACTATCACAAGATGGCAACCTGTGCGGACGCATTTTAATTAAAATAAGTCTTAGCAAGGGTTTCGTAAAAGAAACAGATTTATTTATTGTACAGGCTGTATTGCAACAACTTTGTCTAAAGGATAGCAAGACTGCGGAAGATACATTTGTGGCATATACAAAAGGCCATCCAGAAATAAAAAGAACTTGTTTTCCATATAAGCAACCGCTTTTAAATTTTATATATTTTCTTTTTCGCAGCATTGAACTAAATACCTTCGATATTTATCTTGCACTACTTGAGCTATATAAGCCATCTTTAAAACGAGATGCTGCATATGAGAAATATCTTATGAAAATTAGTTGCCATTATTTTGGTGTTACACATCCTCCAGAGAATCGCGAAGGAGGCATAATGGGTGGGATGTTTGGTGATTTATTTTCACGTCTGTTTCAAGGATTCGAAGATGATGATGATGAACAACAAACTATGCGTTGCGTTAACAATACACATAGCGCTGAATTGGACTAACATTGGTATACGTGCTTCACAATTGGATAATATAATTATTCTTTTGCTAAATTTTAATTTGCTTGCTTTCCTTAACACTTTTAATAATTAAGTTTGCATATTTGAGCATATTTTCTTGTATGTTTTTTTTAAAATCATATATTTAAATTTATTTATATAATAATATTATTTGTTAACAACTAAAATATTTAAAAATTAGTGCTGCTTATGACGAAATCTTTGATGAAATCAGTGTGAAATATGAATAATTCATTTTATCAGAATGTATGTTAAGACAAAATATTTTAATATAAAACAAATCATTTTGAAAGCATATTTGTTGTAACTAAGCCGTATTACTTATAATTTTAGAATATAAATCAATAAAACACCATAGAACAAATTAACAGATAAAAAAGTTTATATTTTTATTATTACTTGTAATAAGTTTATAGCTCATTCTAAAATGCTGGATAAATAATACGAAATGATAAATTGTTTAATTATGATTTAAGATTCATATTCTGAATGAATTCGTTTTTCTTTGCTTTCAATTCAACAATTGCTCTCTAACATTTTTAAGGGTGTTAAAACAGAACGAATGTCAAAAAGATAATGCCACTGAGGACTTTGTTTTGTGATATTGAAGATGACTTCTGTGTTACCAAATACAAGCCATACAAACGAAATGGAGCAAAAGCACAATTCATTATAATATGGACATCAAAAAGTAGGAAAACAGCTGGTTAAGCATGAACCAGATCTTGTTGTTGTATATGACAGTGTCTTATGCTGATTGGAATACTATAAAAATGCAACTAGCACAATAAATTTGTTTTAAAAATATTCTCCAGAGTTTAATCTTTCATCGCATTAAAAGACTATTGTAGGATGCTAAAGTTATAACGAAAACATGAATTTCAATAGAAGAATATTTTTGGAATATAATAAAAAATATATCAGTACAACTATATATAAAAGTTATTAATGAAATATTAGTATATATTTTTAACTGATGTGCAGTATACATCAGCAAATTTTTTTATATACTTCGAGAGTGGATGTACATTCAAAAAGAAAACGGACAGAAACTGCGGAATGCATTACAGCCAACCTTAATATTTTAAATTTTTAGAAATGAGTTTTAATTTATATATGAAATCATTATTTATATATGAAATCATTAATTTTCTCGTCGCTTGTAGTTGTTATATAAGGGAAATTATGTTATTTTATTGATATAGATATATTCTATCCCCACTGATCTTTTTGATGTAAGGCGTTTTAAACTTTACTGTTCTTTTAAAAAATTATTCTTTTTGTTGATAGTTTAAAAGAAATATTGTTAAAATAATTTGCCATACGTTTTGTTAATCTATAAATCTAAAATCATGTTTACTTACTAGCAGTATTTTTCCCAGTAAACTTTATCTTTATCTCACAAATTTTAAGAAATTTAAATTTCCACAAGGAAGGAAAGTTATGCGTTTGCACGCTGTCTTGAAACGAGCTCAAAATGTTAAATATTAACAATAAAACTGAAGTTTATTTATTTTATAAAAAATTATAAAACCAATAAACGCAAAATTGGATGTTTGTCCTTTTTGAAATGAATTCGCAGAATAATTTCTTTAAACCAGTGGTTCTTGGTCAAAAAAAGGTTGGGAACCAGTACACTTAACTATCACAAAAACAGTTGCCACCAACAATAATTATGCTGGAGATTACACAGAAGCCTTTTAAAATAATTATTTAGCTTATTGTTCTTAAAATTTGTGGTTCCTACTATAAACAAAAATATCAGAATGCGCCTTGGTCAAAGTCAAAGTTAGGAACCACTACTTTAAACCATCACATAAACAACCGCCACAGATAATAATTTTGTTTACAGCGGTTAGTGCTGGAGATAACACAGATGATTAAATTGTTTTCTACAAAGTTTATATGGTTTCTATTAATATTACATACATATTATTTGATTTCTTTGCACACAAAAAGTTTTATATATTTTTTGTATATATTTAACATTAAGTATTATAAAAATTTTAAATAATATTTCTTGATATAATAAATTCACAAATAATCATACCTTTTCAAGAACACTTTCACTAACTTTTTTAATATTATTTCAACAAGCAAAACTATTTTTTTTAATTTTATCACTTTAAAAAAATAAAATGGTTTTCAATAAACAAATGTCAGAAAATTTGAAAAATTATTGCCTACTTGCGAAAGTAAAATTTCTTTATTTGTTCTTTATTTTTTCCGACTGGCAATGCTATTAAAATGCCGTCGCAAGGAAATGTTACTCAAATGACTTCAGTTTATTAAAATAATTTAAAGGAGTAGGCGAATAATCAGAAATTTCTTAAGAAATTGATTAATGTAAAAATAGTTTTATACTTAAAAATAGTACAAAGTAGTTTCTTATATTTTTTGTAATCATTCAAAATCAAAAGCATTGTTTGTTATCACTCAAATGTCAAATAAATTAATATACAAGTGATTAAAGGGTAAATAAAATGAAGTTGGCATAGAAAATGCAAAAAAATAAATACCAATATAAATTTGTTTTCTTCTTTAGGATAATATAATATGCGCAAAACATTTTAGATATTAAATAAAAAATTTTGAGTATTGAAGTATTGCTGTCGATTGATTTGCATAAATCAACAACTTTATTACATATTTAAACATGGATGATGACTCAGTGCCTAAAAATCAACAAACAAGCGAATCAACGTTTATATCAATAAATGATGAGGGTGCAAATGTTGTAAATGTAGAATTTGAGGAACCCGTACCGGACAACGCCTTAAACCGTCCTAGCCAAGATGTTATACAAACTAATAATATAGGAAATAATTCAACTAATGAGACTGAACGTACATGTTGGATTTGTTTTGCCACCGAGGAGGACAATCGTTTAGCTGCTTGGGTGCAACCGTGTAAATGCCGTGGCACTACAAAATGGGTACATCAGTCTTGTTTATATCGTTGGGTTGATGAGAAACAAAGAGGTAACGCTTTACGTGCTGTATCCTGCCAGCAATGCCAAACGGAATATATAATTGTATTTCCAAGAATGGGTAAATGTGCGAACATTTTGGAAAGTATTGATAACATAATAAAGCGTTTAAGTCCATTTTTGGCTGCCGGTGTGTTTGTTGGTTCGATTTATTGGACTGCTGTTACATATGGTGCTGTAACATTCTTACAGGTAAGCGTATAAAAACGTATTTACTTATAGTTTTTTTAAAATGGTTTTTTTTTTCAGATTGTAGGAAATAAAAAAGGAATGGCTTTAATGGAAAATAGTGATCCTCTAGTTTTATTGATTGGCTTACCCGCCATTCCGGTAGGGCTTGTTCTTGGTCGTCTTATACGTTGGGAAGATGCACTGTTGCGTATATTGAGAAGTCGTCAAAATTTTGCTCGAAAATTTCCTATAATGAATTTTATAATACCTTTTCCGTAAGTAGGAAATCACTATTTGTTACAGATTACTTTAGCAAAGTCTTATGACTATAATGTACACAAATCAGATCATACGTCTACGTCTTCTTCGCACAGCAAGAACTGTTTTAGCTCAATTGCGATCAGAAAACAGCTGTCATGTATAAATGCGTGAATTCTCTATGTGTGCCTTAAATGCTACTCTACACCCCATGAAGTCACCCATCTGCTTTCCTGTCACAATCACACACAAACTTGTGTCGATCGATCTTTAGACCTATAGCATTAAATATATAATTATGATTTCACATTTTATGGTTATGATGGTATATGATTATGATTCTCTGCTTTGATCCTCGTTAACTTTAATTGAAATCACACCTATCCCGAATCCATTATTATTTTAAATAATTCTCCCTTTCTCTTCACATGTTATGATTACCTACCCACATCCTACCAGAACTATTCGACTTCGTAATTGTTTTCATGCTTTCATGCTTTTATAGATCCTTAATTAAGATTCTTAACTAACTAGTCTTCTGAACTATGATAATTTAATTTTTTGTTATTTTTATTTAGTAAATAAACAAATAAGATTGAAACATATTTTAAGCTCATCTGTTTCCTTTTCTTCAGACAAAAAAGAACTATTTGAGCTACTTTATCATTGTAGTGCGCCAACTACTATTAATTTACCTTGTTAATAGTCCCAGTGAAAGGAAAAACTGAAACTGTGAAAAAAACAAAACTTATAAGTTTTTACTATTCGAAACAAGACATAACTTTGATTGCTTCTCTTTACTTAAAGTAATAATTATTTATATTTTTAATTCAGTGAAGAAGAACAAACTACTGCACAACAACCTGCAACTCCTGTTCTGCACGATTCGTATTCGGCAACTAGAGTTTTTTGTGGTGCTCTACTGCTACCAACTATATCTTCTATTGTCGGACGTTTGCTTTTTGATTCAATTGAGAATACATTGCATCGAACCCTGCTTGGTGGCTTGACCTTCATCACGTTTAAGGGTATATTAAAAATCTATTTACGTCAACAGCAGTATAATCGTAAGAAGAAACGTTGTATTGTTGATTATACAGAAGAAAATTTGCATATTTATCGCAACACGCGTAATCAATCCGCTCAGACTGTGCCTATTGCTACTGCTAATCAGAATATACCACTGGAACCAAGGCAGGCACAAAACAATAACGTTTGAAATTAATAGTCATTATTTTATTGAATATGTTGTATGAAAATATCTAACACTAAAAATTCAATGTACGGCGGCAGTAAATATTTTTTTTAAATAATAATTTTTACATATACTAATTGTTAAATTCTTTTTACAAAATTAAAAGCGGAAATAACAATTAATTTACTGTTTATTTGTTTTTTTGATAATTCTAAATTTTTGTTCTTTGAATATTTTTATATTGTTAATTAATAAATAATATTTTTCAAGTTCTTAATTAAACACGATTTGGAATATGTAATTATAACTTTACAGCACAATTGATATTATATTAATAATTATAAAGTGCAAATTATATATATTATAACACATTTTATATATATATATATATATATAATTAGTAACTCAGTCTTCAGATTTTTTATAATCGCTTAAATATATTAATCTTATGAAATGTACAGTCAAAATAATTAATTAAAATGAAATTAGTATTTAAGTTAACGATATCCTAATTAAAGAATCTGCAGCTTTTAAACAAATTAAAGCTTAAATAATTATTTGTGAACATAGCTTAAAAATTAATCATTTCCTTTTTTAAATTATTTATATATTTATTAAATTAAAATTTCTTAACTACTAAATGTGCTTAATGCTGCAGAATGTTTGAAAACTAGTGCTCCGAATATTAGTCGAAGATTCGGAAACTTTGATGTTCAAGTGATCTCGTGCTCGAGCTGCTTAACAATGTTCGAACATCATATTGCAATATAAAACAAGATGAAAATACTTTAGAACTTTAAGCAGATTAGCTTGAACATATTCGTGTAGTTCGGACATTTTTGTGTAGCTCGAACATCGTGAAACTCGAAAATCTTCATGCAGTTCGATTTTCGTGAAACTCGAAAATCTTCCTGCAATTCGATTTTCGTGAAAGGTATTCGAATTCGACTATATGTATATGTATAAAACAAGATGAAAATAAAATGAAAGATAGAGCAAATTTGTTGTTCCGAATAGCTCAAACATTTGAAGTATTCGATTCAAAAGTTCGAATTCAAGTATACTTGCAATGTTCGAACACTTTGGAGCACTACTCAAAACGAAAAATTTTGTTGAAAATTTGTATTTACCTTAACCACGAAATGGTAATATATAGGTGTATATAAAACATTATTTTGTAGGTTCTTGTTATGTAATTTATAAATTTTTTTCTAATATTAATGAAATTTCATTAAATTACTATTTTTCTAATGATTATTAGGCGACAAAATGTATGAATATATTATAAAAAGTTTTTGACATTGCTATTGACTAATATTAAAATAATAAATGAAAATATTTAATGAATTGTTTCAATTATATTTAATATTTAGTTTATGATATAAATTATTAATTATTATTAAATTATTAAATGCATTTTTAAGCAAATTTTTAAGTGCCTTGGTGTCTACATCACTTTTGATGACTATAAGACTTTGTTTATTCGGGAACCAAATTCGGGACAACAATAAATGAGGTTAGTCTAGAGATTCAACGAAGAGTAACTCTTGCCAAAAGATGTTACTTTGGGCTTAGTAGGCAATAGAAAAATAAAGTATTCTCTCGGTAAACAAAAATAAAGTCTCTTAACAAGCCTATCCAATTTGTATGATGCAGTAGCTTGGACAATAAGCAATAATGGTACAAAGGTATTAGGAGTATTGAAGAGGAAAATTCTACGGAACTCCGGTAATATCGTACGCGCTAGTAACGAGTATTGAATTAAATGGAACGACAACCAGTATCAGCTTGCTATATAGCAATATTAATATAGAATATAGCCGTCGGAGGCTTGATCATGTCGTACGAATGAAACACCTATCAATGCACTGGCAAGAAAAGTGTTTGTTTCGGTACCCGCAGATGGAAAGCATAGAAAATAATATCCGCATATGCTGTGTAAGGACCAGGTGACCAACGAACTAAATTCATTACCAATTGACAACAGCAAGCAACTAATCGAACTGACTGGAGGAGGTTATTAGACGTATCTAAGGACGACTCAAATCTGTAATGGCCAAGTAAGTAACTAAGTTATTGTGGCAGTGCTACTTCCTATTGCTTGTTGAGGGATTCTTATTTTAAAATACTCAAAATCAATGTGGCATTTTTGCAATCTAGTATTTTTTTGGGCGATGTAAAAGAAATATCATACATCTTCGTTCCTCCGAAGACTTTGATTTGTTTAGGAATATTACTGTTCGTCGGTACTCAAATGAAAGATTAATGGTTACTAAAAACATATTTTGGTTTAAATGGGATTGATTTAAGGAGATTCTTTGACTTTTTGTCGAATATTGATATTTTCAGTTATCTATGCAAGCTTCTTTTTTCTTTTGAGAAAACCTTGTAAGGGGCTCTACTATTAAACCTTCCCAATTTTGGTGTAAATTTTAATTCGGTTTCAATAAGTTTTTCGAATCAAAATTTGTGAATGGCATTCCTGTTTCGCTAAAGCCAAACCTTACCGGTGTTCTTGTTCTTGTCATATTCATACATTCAATGATACTAAAGTCAGATCACGTACATGTCGTAGACTCAGTTCTCGAGCATGTGAAATTTTATTGTTTTTTCTTAAGTATCTGTTGTTGCAAATTTATTATAAACAATTATAAAACATTTTTTATAGCAGTAATCAAAATAAAGTCGAAGCTGTAAAGGAACTGAGCTTCCCGGTGTAAATAATTTTATTTTGGGTTAATGCCTTTAATACTATAAATTGTATTCAGACTGTATTGTGCAACCTGTCAGCAAATTTCGAAAGACTCTATGGATGATTTATTGACATGACTGTGGGATTGAGAGAGTTTGTTATCAAGGCGAAGTGAGGAATAATTGCAGCAACTGATTACGAAGGAAGTGCGTTTTAATTTCACATTTCAGTGGGCATTGCATGCTTACTTCACTTCACTTCAGTTCAGTTCAGTTCAGTACTTCTGATAATTTATGATAACTTTTTTTGTTATCTTCATAATTTTGTTGATAAAACATCTGATAAGATAGAAGACTAAATTTGTAGGTGCAGAGGTGTGTGTTGGTGGTCTTTTGGGTTGTTTGATTTGTTAGCGAACACCTTCAGCAAATGTTAATTAAATAAATAATAGAAAATGCATTTGTGTACACATTTAGAGAATCTCAGATAAGATAAGGTTTTTTCTATTTATTTTATGTAATTTGTGTATTTAATTTATTTCTTTATTTTTATTTTTACTTTTAATCAACATATGCACAGTGATTGTGTGGTCAATTTCATCCAATGTTTTGCTCTTTGTGCAATATCAATCGATATTTTATTTTCGATTTAATATATGTCAAACTTGTTTAACTAATCCAAAGATCAAAGAATATAGATGGAATCAAAGTTAAAATATGAAAAAACACTTTTTATAATCTTAAATATTAGACAATGATAATTCAGATAAATTACTTATGTTTTATTCTTCCGTGTGATTTATGTCAATCAAATGTTCAAACCACAAATACCGAATATATAAGCTATTTAGTAAGAGAATTCTTTAGAAAATTCAAAAACTTTCTAGAATATGAAGATATACTAGCAGCAATAAAAGATGTGAAAGAAAAATGATTGTGAGATATTCTTAAGTTAGAATGTTTTGCACAGAGATCATCGGTTTTAATCATTCGAACAAACCGGTGATTACATGTGTAGCTGAAGAGAATAGATTATAAAAGCAAAAAGTTTAACAATATCATAATTTTTGATAAATTGAACGGCTATTAATAGCTTGTCTGAAAGTAGATAATATACTTGATAGGACTATATACATATTATCGGATTTTAAAGTTCTTGAGCTCAGTCCAGTTTACTTTTAGGATAGTCTTTAACTGCTACACATCTCTAAATGATATGTCGACAAAGTTCAATATTTCTCTAATGTCTAGCCAGACGTGGTGCTTTAGGAAACCACTCGAAACACCTAAACAAACTAGGTATATCGTTGACATCATGCAAACTAGCACTGAGTTCTTCCTGTGCTGAACTTCGTAACAAAAGATGGGAAGACTCAACGATATGCAGGCATCTGTATTTGTTTTGGCCATGCTCCGAAAAAATAAAATCAAACTCTCTTATTGGAATGCCCCATAGAGATATCAGTCATATAGTAGGCTTACTTACAGGTTATTGTATTTTAGGCAACCATGCTGGGAGACTAAATCTCCCTTTCGGGAGGGCGATAAAAGTGCTTCCCATCTGCTTTGTTTCTGCGGCGCCACCTTATTACTTCAGGGGCTTTCTTTTTTGAGGAACTTGGCGAACTGCAAGACCACTATCTTAATAGCATTATAAGCTGTGCAAAAAGTTGTAAGTGGTTCTTACCTTTGAGTTTTTAATTATACAGTAATACAATGGCCCTATAGTCCACAGTAGATCTCTTGGGATCGCCGGTATAACGTAACTTAACCTAAGTATAGTAATTATTTCATACACTATTTTTAACTCTAATACTAACTCTATGACGAGTCTTTCGACTTATATAAGTTCTCCTTTGATTTCGAAAAAAAGACACTTTTCTACATATATGTATTTTGATACTATAAACGATTCGAGGAAGTAGGCCTATTGTACGCAATCGCAATATATTGACTATAACTGACCTGCGCTGATCTTTTGTGCCTCTGCACCGAATCTTACAATCACCAATTATCGCTTGCCAAAGTAAGTTTGAGAAAAAGAATATAATTTGTTTTAGTAAACTTTTCTAAACTAGACACTCTCGAAATTTCACATTATTAAGAATAGCATTTTTTGGAATACTTTTGATAACTCCTAATCTATATAACAAACTTGATTATATATAGAAAATAAATAGGTTCTTAAATTTATACCGCGTTTTTTTTTGATGTTTTTCTCTCAGTGAAACATACTCAGAGTATAACAAAACTCTTCTAATTAGAAAAGATAGGAAGAAAACTTGTTTTATTCTGTGGGTCGCAAAAGTCGTAAATTCAAATTCCATGATTTAGCTGACTAAGTATTTTTACTTGGACCCACGTTATATTTGGTCATGCAAGCTTTTTGGATAGAAAAATTCTAGTTAGTGAAGATAGGAAGAAAACTTGTTTTACTCTGTGGATCGCAAAAGTCGTAAATTTAAATTGCATGAC